CCGGGGTCGGTCCTGAATACACATGTAGATCAGTGATGCGTAGGTAATCTACGCCTAAAAAAAATAATGGAACCATCTCGTAACCGAACTGTAGCCTTCCCCATCCGAATGGTTAGGGTGTCTTTCAGGCAAGCAGTTCTTGGATCGAATTCTACGAGTGAAGTATGTTTGTGTGAACTGTTTCCAATTTGTTGAAAGAAGTGTGAGCACATTCACAAAAATAAAGACGGTTTAATATTTATGACTCCTGACGCAATTACGCAATTGGAGCGAATGGGTGAGTAAAGTGAAATTTATGACTCGTGATGTAAATACGCAACGGGAGCAAATCGTTATTATATAAAAATTAAAAAGACAACACAAAAAACCTTGAAATAGAAAATAAAAAATAATTAAAATTCTTGCATAAATAGTTATCAAATAGTAATTCTTTTTGAAAATTTTGAAAATGCCCCTCCTAAATTATTTTTGAAATTTAAAAAAATAAAAATAAATTCAAACATTTAAAGGAAAAGATCACACACAGATTTATCTGGATATATTTCATCTTATCTTAATTTCCAGATAATCACATTTTCAAAACATACACACACACACACACACATTTCCATCTTATTTTAATTTTAGAAAATATTCCACGGGGTCTTTGTGTATATATAATTTACACACACATACATACATATATATATTTTTAATTATTATGTGATAGGATGAATTTTAAAAATTGATTAGAAAGCGTATATGCCACAATATTTATTTTAAATTTTTTTGTATATTTTTAAATTAATTACATCACCGAATAATATTTAATGTACACTAAATATTTATCAGTATATATATATATAAAAAAAAAAGAATACTACTTTTATAAGTATTATAAATAGTAATAATGATATTATAAGACAATACATTTTCGAATATAATAATAATTGAGCATTATGATGACAAAAAAAAAGTAAAAATATTATTATTTTAGTATGAACACATAATATATGTGCTAAAATATTATTTATATTAATATAAATGAGTCAATGAACTAATATATTGTTAAAATAAAGCTTTAAGTACAAATTTGTTTACAATTAATAATCATGTAATGGGAGCTTCTCATGTTTAATTGTCTCATCTTGTGCAATATACAAACTCGTTTACAATTAATAATCATGTAATGGGAGCATCTCATGTTTAATTGTCTCATCTTGTGCAATATTGCACAAGATGAGACAATTAAACATGAGAAGCTCACATTACATGATTATTAATTGTAATAAATATTGATTTAATGATAAATTTAATAAATGTGAAAAATGATTAAATATCAAAATACTAAAATGTAATAAAATCATGAATTAATTTCAGCTGGTATAACCGATATTTTCCAATATGAAAACAATATTTCGACATTTTTTTTTTTAAAAAAAAAATGGCATTTGTAAGATTATTGTACATGTCGGACTATCGATATCCAGTACTACTAGTAATATTGACTGGTGTTACAGTTTTTAAAACATTATTTAGAAGTAATATTGACTAGTGTTACAGTTTTTTACACATTATTTAGAAGAATAAATTGATCATTTTTAGAAACCACGATTTGTTAGCAAGTATCAAAAACTATTTTAACCCATAATGTGCTGGATTAGACCTACAAATATTAAAAACATGGTCACCCCCGCCTGGGACAAAAATACAGAAAACCTGAAACTATTCGGTGCACACTTCATGTGCTCCTCAGCAATATCTCAAAAGAAGTAAGAACATAAATATTAAAATGAATAGCAATAACTTATATATATAATATCCTGTATTCTCATGATGAATTCTTCTATTCACTTCCGACCGTTTTCTATTCTCATTATTTTTCTCGGTTCCGACTGATGATTAACCAAAATGTAAAAACGATCATATTAGAACCGATAGAAGAGGGTACGGGTCCATTAAGTGAAGCGGACCGCACCTTATTGAAGTTCCATCTCATAACCTATTGGTGATGAGAAGAGTGATCCACTAGGCTCATATACCATATATAATCAATGTGAGACAACTCACAAGTAACATTCTAAACAGATTATGTATTGTCATGTTTGTTTCTGGCGCATAACTTTGTACCTAAGCATAGTATTATATATATATATATATATATATATAAAATTAGGGGCAAGCTTCATTTAATTTTATTCAACTTCAATTAATAATAATATGAGGTCATTTAATAAAAATAGGTTGCATTTAATAAAAATATGTTCACCATTTCATAATAATATGTAACTTTCAGTTACACAACTTATTTTGACATGTCACATTTTGGATGGTCCTCATTTCTGTAACGCATTTTTATGTCATGAAATACAATATATTTTTGTTTTTATTTTGATACTATAAATTTTTTGGGTATTATATAAATACATATTTCACAACTAATTTAAAATGACTACAACTATCTCTATTTTATATTGCAGTCATATAATAATAAAAAATATTATTTCGGATATTACAAAGATTCAGAAAATATTTTGAAAATCAAATCCCAGAGTCACGAGTCGAAGAAATTTAACAATAAGGATTTGTTGTGATGAGGATTCTTACGATAATAAAATTACGATTGTTTTATATAAAAAAAGTGTTTAATAATATTTAGATTAACTTTTTTAAATAATTTTTTTCTCCTTCATTGAGTTATGATTTTTTATTTTATTCTATTTTTTAATTATTTTCTCTTTTATTATATTGTTTTTTTTTTTTTTATAAATGCACGGGATAAAACTAGTGTCAAATAATACACGTGCCAATTTTTCGCTCATCTCAAATTCACTTTATCTCTTTAAAGTATATTCTCGTCAAAATGAAGATAAATAGGCAACAATTGGTCGAACCAAATGTCAAAACTGAAAAGTGGCTACTTAGAAAATTATGCCTAAGAGCACCTCTAACAAAGATTTCCAACAATCAAATACAATTTGTATCATTTTAGGATATTACTTTTAAAAAACAGTATGTGAAGTTGCAATTTGTATCGTTTTTGGGACATTAATCCCAAAAAATAATGAACTATTTTTATGATAATATCTCAATAGTGATACAAATTGCAACATAACGTACTATTATTAATTAGGGAAAAGTTAGTGAACCAAAAATAATTCTAGACAAATAAACGGAGCAAAATTGAATTTTTGCCTTGTGAAAAAATATTCATAATTATTTTTTAGAATATGACATTTCAATATAATAAAAGTTAAAAAATGAAGTTGAAAAAAAAGTATAACTGCGCATTAGTTTGGTGTCTCTAGCTAACACGAGTATTACTGTGAAATGAACTTATGAATAAAGAGGTTTATGAGAGATCGATGGTTATTATATTAATCTACATACATACATACATACCTATTTGAATCTTGGAGGTGATGAGCGAATCGTGAACGACGATCACTGTCTTGGTCGGGACTATAACCGAAAAGTCCTTAACGCCGTCAAGCGAATTCAGTATCCTCTCCACTAACGGAACTTCAGATGAACAGCAAAGTCCCAACACGTCAAAATAGCTCTTCTCAAACTTCCTCTCGCCACTTTTGTCACTCCTCTCCATTTCTCCAACTTCCTCTGGTAATGTAAGAAAATAATTCGGCACACCTTCTAAATTGTGTGTGTTTGAGGGGGATATAAATAGCGTGTGAGAGTGCGAAACTGGAATCCACGTGTGCTATGCACTTTAAAATAATGTATAAGTGTGCAAAATTTTTTAATAACGGGCATGTTGACGAATGGTTCTGTCACGGTTTGTTATTGGAGATTATCCACACAGCATATCCTATTTTTCTTATCCAATTGTGGAAAACGTTAACGGTACCGTTCTGACGGTATCGTAGTATTTTTCTATATTCTAATGTAACTTACTTTTCTTATTCGGGTGGAAAATGTTAACGGTACCGTTCTGTAACGGGAAAGTATGATTTTCCTATATTCTAATGTCTCTCGGTGCATGAGGATTGAGATTCGTGCACCTACCTTAAAGGCTTAAATTAAAAGATTATTAGACACATGAAATTTGACAACTTTTTCCTATTTTTTTTAAAAAAAAATACTACCTAAAAGCGCTGGGATAATGGTAGGGGGGAGACTAACGTACAAGCCAACGCAAAGAGTTGGACGATGTATTGGTACAGCTCTTGTTGGTCTGTTTCGAGGCAAAAATTAAAAAATGTTTCAATGTGTTGGTCATTTTTTAGAAAAGATCCATCATATAAGGTGCGCGTCATCAAGAATGGTCCATTAAATCGTCACTTTTGTCAAAATTTAAACAAACAAACACCAGGATAATGTACTAAAGGTGATCGTTATTTTTAGTACACTATGTTGGATATAGTACAAGTTTTGATTCAAGTGCTACTTAATGGATCGTTAGTGATGACACCTTATATGATGGATCTTTTTTTAAAAATAACCAACATAATGAACTAATAATATATGAAATTTAGCCGTTTCTGCTTGATGTGCTTGTGTTCATAAAACAATTTGTGTAGTATAATATATACTGTTGTTAGGTGTAAAAAAATATATTGTGAAATCATGACTTAAAATTAATTATCATCATTTTAACTTAGAGCTTTATTTACTAGTCAAATAAATGTAAACCATTAATTTAAATATTTGATGGACATATCAAATCTAAATTAAGTCAGCCATGTATAAATTAATCTATTAGTGTTTATCTACTTAATGAGATGGTCGAATGAGAGAAATAAAACTTGCATCAAAATAGAGTTCCGTGTGATCTCAAAAATAAATCAATGTCATCTTCTGCATGAAACTAGTGTGGTACTCGTGCGATGCACGTGCTAAGTTTATTAAGGTAAGTAATTATATTTGGATGATTGGAAGAACGTACAAAAAATGTATTGGAATAAAACAAAATACAATTTATATATTATTCAACAGAAAACAATGTACCTATGTGTAAACCGTATCTAAGAAAATAAGCACTTGACATTTATATATATTAGGATTCTAAATAGGCTTAAATAAATCAATTAAATTATTTAGCAAGATATATATGATATGATTTATATTGGTTTTATGAAGATCGCATAGCCAAATATAACGGAGATTGTAAAATGTCTTTCTTGATAATATATATCCTTATTATTTAAAAATTATAAATTACTTAATTTAAGGAAGTAAATAATTATGTACGTGTGCAATCAATTTCAAATTTTTATTCTTTAGGATTAAACAAAACTAAAATTTTTAGGATATTCCAATCCAATTTCATTTTGAATTTCAAATTAATATTATCTAACACTATTTTATGTTTAAAAATAAATTTGAATTAAAGAATGTAGTAGCCAAATGATATGGGAGTTTTAAATTTTAATTATTAATTTGAAGTTGGGCCGATTCTATGCAATCCATTTTTTTTTTAATAAACATGATTTGTTGCAATTAGGTAAAGACACATATTATATTATTTTGCCTAATTCAAAATTCTCGATTTTATGGTAAACTTTTTTTTAAATAAAAAATGAGAATGTTGACTTTTACAAAATGTCATGCCGAATTTTACCTAAATTAACCCGGTTTCTGTGCAACCCGATTTTTCTAATAAACAATTGATTTGTTGTAATTAGAAAAAAAAAATATATGCGATAGTATTTTGTCTAATTCAAAATTTTAGATTTTATGATAATTATTTTTTTTATTAAAAAAATGAGAAAGGATTTTGACTTTTGCAAAATTGTACGCACCAGTCGAAATTTACCTAAATCAAATCTACAAAACCCATAAATTTAGGGTGCATATATAACCGCTCGATTTTTCGAGAATATATTAAAAAACTGCTAAAAATAGAATGCAATAAATGTTGATTGACTTTTCTTGTTACTATTTTTAGTAAATATGTTCTCTCTTTATATATATGTATAGATAAGAAATTTTTATCTATAAAGTATTCATTAAATATTTGTGATTATGATTACATTTTGAAATTTATATATAACTTGGATATGTGATTAAGGATTGGAGTATTTATTTATTGTATTAATTGAAAAACATTTATCGTAATTTGCAGATTGAATCTAACTTTTATAAGTTTATTATTAATCACATGATTTTTCAAATTTTTGCGATTTTATATATCAGACTAAAATATTCGTGCCCAAGCTGACGTCGACTCCATACATGCATATATGAATTTTCCTCGCCATAACTTATTCGTCAAAAAAAAAAAAAATAAATAAATAAATAAATCAATTTTTAAGTTTGCATATAAATACGTGAAAATTTATTTAGCTTTACAGCATTTCATTACATCAAGGAGTAAATTCGGGTCAAATAGAGATCAACTTTTGCGAACCGATGTGAACTTCACACATATTTTCACAGGGAAAAATAAGAAAGAATAAATACTGTAAATTTGCAAGTCTATGTAAACCTCATTAAGGATTTTGAATAAATAATTTGGTGTATACAAAATATTTACTTGATGCGGAAGACGATATAATTAGTGATCTTGATCTTGATGATCACACGAGACTTGATCGATTGTGAGATCTAAATTAGTTTCTCCCTCCTGACCTTCTCTTAACGTAGCAGAAAAGTGATGGGATAAAACTGCGTACCAAGAGGAGAGAGGACTAATTTATATAGAGGTGTCTTTATATCTGGTACGTCCATCAAATAGCCAGATTAATGGTTTAGATTTGTTTGACTATTAAATCAGGTCTGGCCCAATAGGATAATTAAATGTGAGCCTAATGCTTTTGGGCCACATATTCTTACATTCTCCCACTTGGTCCGAAAGCCCAAAATTTAATAGTATAACATTAAGTGCACATAAACAAATCCCATTATGCCATACATCATAATAAACCATGACATGATAAACCATATAGTGAGAGTTATGGCGGTTGTACACTCTCGATTCGCATACTTCCTTCCATATACTACTACACTAATAGTTCAACACATCAAGTTCCATAATTATATACAAATATCATAATGTCCACTTAATTGTCATGAAGACATTCATTTCTTGTTCTAAACATAATGTATACAATATTATAATGAACAAGAAATTCGATAATAGTCAGAAACATAACATCAATGAGCTCAAGAGTGTGCCATAACATCATCATAATCAATCATTAATACAACCAAGACCCATTCTATATACATGTTCTTTAAAGGTCTTTGGTTGTAGACCTTTAGTTGACGGATCGGCAATCATAAGGTCCTTTCTTATATGTTCAATGCACACTCTTTATTTCTGAACTTCCTCCTTAACGGCAAAGTACTTTAATTCCATGTGTTTTGCACCCTTGGAATATTTGTCATTTTTGGAGAAGAAAACTGCTGCGCAGTTATGACAATACAATTTCAGCGGCTTGGTAATGGTGTCGACAACCCCAAGTCCCGAAATAAAGTTCCGCAGCCATAATGCATGAATTGTAGCCTCAAAACAAGTCACAAATTCGACCTCCATAGTAGATGCAGCTATGACAGACTGTTTGGCACTTTTCCATGAAATTGCTCCTTCGGCGAGGAGAAAGACATAGCCAAACGTTGATTTGCGACTGTCAAGGCACCCAGCAAAATCTGAATCTGAATACCCAATCACCTCAAGGCGATCAGATTTCCTAAATGTGAGCAGATGATCCTTCGTCCCTTGAAGGTATCTCATCACTTTCTTTGCAGCTTTCCAGTGATCCAATCCAGGATTACTTTGATATCGCCCAAGCATTTCAACAGCGAAGCTAATATCAGGCCTCGTGCAAGTTTGCAAGTACATCAAACTGCCCACAACAGAAGCATAAGGAATTGATTCCATACTCTTTCGTTCCACATCATTCTTAGGGCATTGCATAAGACTAAACTTGTCCCCTTTCTGTAATGGGACAACACTTGGTGAACAATTGTTCATACTAAATCTCTCAAGAATTTTCTCGATATAAGCATTCTGAGACAACCCCAACAATTCTTGTGATCTATCCCGGAATATTGAAATTCCAATCACATAGGATGCCTCTCCCATATCTTTCATTTCAAAATTCATTGAGAGAAAATCTTTAGTCTCATGCAAAATTCCCAAATCATTAGCAGCAAGTAGGATATCATCAACATATAGAACCAAAAATATAAACTTACTCCCATTGATCTTTTGGTAAATACACCGATCAACAGTGTTTTCTTCAAAACCAAAAGACGTGATGGTATCATTAAACTTAATATACCATTGTCTGGAATCTTGTTTAAGTCCATACATTGACTTCTTAAGTTTACACACCATGTGACCCTTTCCTTCTATGGAAAAACCTTCGGGTTGATCCATATAAACTTCCTCATCTAAGTCCCCATTAAGAAAGACCGTTTTCACATCCATTTGATGTAACTCTAAATCATACTGAGCTACTAAAGTCATAATGATCCTCAAGGAATCTTTCTTAGAAACAGGTGAAAAAGTCTCCTTATAATCAATGCCATCTTTCTGAGTATAACCCTTGGCAACAAGTCTAGCTTTATGTCGTTCGATATTGCAACTCGAGTCGCGTTTGGTCTTAAAGACCCACTTACACCCAACTTGTTTTGAACTTT